CATCACAATGCATGCATTGTCTGCACTCCTGACAAAGTGACATTTGTAGGAACAATAGTACATAAACCAGGTTGTAGTTAGAGCCTAACAAGACCACGTATTGTAGAGGTACAGTACTATTAATTATTAATAAGGTGATCAAGTATTGTGCTTTTTGGAAATTTAAGAAATACCTATGGCACTTTGGCACTACCATATCTGCACAATGTATGGACAATTCATAGTGACTGGCAAAGATGATAGTATCTGGAAAGGATTTGTACTGTTTGTCATCACAAAAGAAGCGATTACAGAATCCTAACAAAGGTCCCAGACAAAACTCTGGCTATGCTTTGATGTGATTGCTGTTCTTATCACATATTAAAAGCAGCTTCATCCTTCTTTTATTGTCCACTGTCATTTTCTCACAGTGTGGTTTTACCTTACTTTTGATGTGATATCACATGATGTGCTTTACTGTACTGGGCCATGTGATATGTTGTAACATACTGTAATAAACAGTTAATAAAAAACTTTTATTCGTATGAAAGATTTATTTAAGACTTGGCAGACACCTGGCAAATTTAAATTTAATGTATTCAAGTGCAAAGCAATACATTCAGATAATAAATTGCTCTATAAATATAATTGATTTGCACTGAAATAGAGAAAGCAACCCACTTAAGGGACTTAAGATGTGTATATTGACTTATTATTTTCATCTTCCAGACAATGCAGAGAAACAAATGAAATTCCAAGGTATATAGTGAAAAAAGTTGAATTTAAATAAAAGGTTATGCAACTACTGACACCTCACTGAAAATACTGTATACATTTCTGGTCACCATGTTACGATAAAGAATTCAGAGTAACAATCTGAACAAATGAAGGACAAAAGATCTACCTTTCTTTAGGGTTGATCATAGAGGATTACAAGAGAATTTGATATAAGTATTCAAATGATTTAATACTTTATACGCAAAAAGAAGGAATGAATATGTTCTGTCACCTGTGTTTGGAAGAAGAGTTAATTAATACATATACCCTTAATTCAGTGCAACAGCTGATCATACCTCTCTACCGAGCTTGTAAGGGCACTCCTTCATCACAACTAATTGGATAAGTGCTTAAATTACATTTTTGGTATTAGTTTTAAGCTGGGCCTGTGTGCAGTAGACAGACAATCCCCAGTAAAAAGAATATACTGTATCTACAGGTATAGCAAAGGCTGAGCAATGATGAAGGTTTCTGGCCGGTGCTTTTTTTCATTTCACGATCTTTAGGCACACGAAATTGGTACAGACCTTTCCTTTCATCCTGTCTCTACAGTCACGGGGGGGGGGCGGTGTGCCATAATTTGAACAGTGCTGGATCTCCGACATGTGGAGTACATCAGCTCTTCTCACACAATCCCTGCTTTAGCAGTTTATACCATGTGTCCTAATTGTACAGTATCTCTCCAGCTCAGAATGTGCATTTGCCCTAGCGTAATTGCAGAAACAGTTGCTTTTAATATTCAAAAGCCTGACAGATAAATACACATCCACAATGGTACTACTGTATGTTGCTGTTTTCAAAACATTTAATCCATTCTTAAATTCGGGTCAAGGTGGGCTTGTTGTGCTGTGTTGTTTTTGATTTTTTGGTTTCATCCTTGATAGTTAATTAGCATTCTTGATTTCTTACAAGGTGAGCTCTTTTATGCAAGCAACATCAAAAACAGACTGGTTTGCTGTAATTGAAAGTCAGTTCTCTGTACTCATTCTGTAGAAGTCTAAAGATAGTTAAATGGTGGTGCAGGGCATTATTCCTGTTTTTTTTTCCAGACTGCAGGTGAACATTTGTTAAATAACATCACGCCTATAGCTGCATACATTTTTTTCTTCCAATGTATCAATTATACAATGTCTGTCATATAACAATATAACTCTGGGTGGAACGGTGACGTACAGTAGTTTTTAGCATTGCTGCCTCACAGTGCTAGAGCTCTGGATTCAATTCTATACCTATGGTGCAATCTGTGAGGAGTTTGTGGTCTCCACTCGTTCTCTTAAGGTTTCCTCTGGATGCTTTGATTTCCCGAACAGTCCAAAAACACACTGTAAGTTATTTGGCTTCTTGAGTCTGTGTCTCCCTTGCATTGGACCCATCCAGGGTGTGTCATGAGCCCATTAATAGCTGAGATAGGCTCCAGTCCCCCCTGACCTTGAATTGGAGTAAGTGGTTAGAAAATGGAGGGATGGGTGTCTTAGTAAGTGGTAGTTTAATAACAAAGGATCAGGTACATTTTTATTCCATGCTGAAAAGAAAAGAGAGATGACATTTCAGCTGTGAAGCCTTCTTCAGGTGTGATACCCTTTACCTGTTCCTCGTGGTTTAATAACTATATCTATGGCCAAATGGGTACAGTACCTCAGGACTGGGGTTGGTATCAAATTGTTGACTAGCCAAGTCATTCTTTGCCAGTCATTGTCAGGAGCCATTTATCCATGAAGCATGAATCATATGCTTCAATGTAGGGCTGAGAACACAGACAGTAACATAGCCCAACACACGGACAAAGACAAAGTACAATTTAGTCAATCCAACCCAGCCAACATGTCTTGGGGTGGTGGGAGGAAACTGGAGTACCTGCCACAGGACATGTGCAACAAACAGACTCCGCAAAGAAAGACTCCTGAGGTCAGAATGGAAGCTAACTGCCCAACTGCACTGATATCCACATTCTTAATTCACCTCTGGCATCTTCTGAGCTCTGTCAATGACAGATTGCTCAAATTAGAAAAAGCCTATTTAAAAAAAAACCCTAAAAACTATTCTCTTTTAAAGCTCTAAAACCGACTCTTATTCAAATTGATAACATTTAAATGCTTTGCTACAGTTTCCTGTGTGTATCGCAATGCCAAGCGTTGTGTGTGAATGTCCCTGGCCAGGCAGCAGAAGAAACATCAGGGGCTTCTGCAGTTCAGCTGTTGCCATGGAGACTACTATGCCTTCAGCCATGACTAAGCTTCACTGGTTGGATCGTTCTTTTTTTTAAGCAACAGAATTGCATCATTATACTGTACCTTTTAACAACCGTGTCACTCGTGGAAAATGTGATTTTGGCTGTTAAAACAGTTGCAAAAACAAGACTAAAAATTTGGTCTTTTGAGACCTGGACAGTACTTGTTCGCATTTGTTGGTTCCATTTTGTTTTTGCAATGTTTTTTTTGTGCACAAAACAGCATTTCACACCATATTTTGATTTCATTTTTATCGTAGTTCTCTGGTTAAACTGTCTGTTAATCTTTCTGATTAATCTGCATAACCTTATTACAGATATTTACATCCTGGAATTATTAGATAATTAAGATAATAACTATGTAAAAGTGATTTTAAACCTTAGAACAGGAGGCACTTTTTATGCAACACCTGGAATGAGCTACCCAGCCATGTTGTTGACACCTGACTTCTTTCAAGAAAAAACGAGATGAGATCATTGAATAAATAAGCTACTCACTACTGATTTGGTTATACTGGCCGAATGGCCACCTCTTGTTTGTATCTTATGTTCCTTGATAACAAAAAATGAGTAAAGTTCATTATTGGTTTTGGATAACCACCGTGGTTTGTATACCAGCTCGGCTCTTAATAGCTAAATGGAATTAATTATTGTCTTAACTCATCTGCCAAATTTTGACTCAGAGACTTCGAGTTAAGTGATTTTTTCTTGGGGGAATTTATTTGTAAAAGCTTATACAGAAGATTGTGAACTTTGGGTACCAATTCAGTTTGCTATGAGTATGAGTATCACATTGTATTTGGTTATGTCTACGTACTAGTACTCTTTTAGAGAATTTGAAGCAACTTAGAAAACCAACACTTCCAACACATGTAAAGAATCTAGGCTTTCATGTAATATGAGACAGGTCATTCACCTGAATTTGTGAGATATTTATTTTTCATAGGATTCCCTGCTTCTGGTCCGTGTTTAATCGATTATCTCTGATTTTGTACCCAAGATAAGTAAATGAAAAGACATTCCTAGGAAAATAATTCTCAATTGAAGCAGAAAGAATCTTTCCTGGTGAAGAATTAAATCAAAAATTTAATTGAAGACAAAATTAAATTATGCTCATCATAAAAAAAACACAAAACAAATTGCTTCGCTTTCAAAAGGAACACACAATGCCGCAGGTAATCAAATGTACCTATTTGATATTAAGGAGTCACAGTACTCTTAAAAGGCAAAGATTCATTTTCATCCAGTCTCTGTTTGCACATTTCAAAGCAAAACCAAAGTAATTAGGTGGATTGTGTTGTGCAACAAATTCAATTAATGTTCATTTAGCAAAATTATGTATGCTTTAATTAAGAATGAATGCCGGTTTAGGACAAGATGAGCATATCTTAACAGAGAACCAAAATAACAGCTAAGCAGTGAAAAATAAAAGCCCTTTGTGGAACGATGTGTTGCTGCAAACAAGCAAGTGAGGAATTAAAGCATTTGCATTTTTTTTCAAAAGTATATTATGTTTCTATTTTAAAGTAATATTAGCCAGTACAACTGCAGGAGTAAACAGCTCTAATTGTAAAATTAGCCTGTAGGAACATTTTGCACCACTGCAAAAACATTATCAGATTCTGTCTCAACCTTTCATTTCAGCTTGATTGTGGAGACTTAATGAATACAAATAATATAAATAACAGTGCACTGGGACCATGCAATATGGACTAATAAAACGTTTTGAGACATGGAGGTTTAACACGACACATTATAAGAGCTTTTTATCCTCGGTGAAAAACCTATTGCTCCTATTTGTCCATGAATGAAGTCTGGAAAATAAGCATAAATTAAATAAAAAAAAATGTTTTTGGTAGTTCATGTGCTTTTACATTGCACTTTATTGATTCTAGGTTTGTAGGTCTGGCTTACCTGAAACTGCGGGGGAAGGCTTTCTTCTAGAGTAGTAACCCTGTCTGTCCTTGAGAAGAAACTGCATTTAACTTCAGTTCCTCTTTCTTTTCCCTCCATTCAGCTTCCCTCCTTGCAGCGTGAATTATGGCGCAGCTCTACTACAAAAAGGTGAACTACTCCCCCTACAGGGACCGCATCCCTCTGCAGATAGTGCGTGCCGAGGCCGAGCTCTCCTTGGAGGAGAAGGCTTACCTGACGGCGGTAGAGAAGGGCGACTATGCCAGTGTGAAGCATGCCCTGGAAGAGGCCGAGATCTACTACAACATCAACATCAACTGCATGGACCCGCTGGGCCGCAGTGCTTTGCTCATCGCCATCGAGAATGAGAACCTGGAGATCATGGAGCTCCTGCTGTGCCACAACGTGTACGTGGGTGACGCGCTGCTGTATGCCATCCGCAAAGAGGTGGTGGGAGCCGTGGAGCTACTGCTCAACTACAGAAAGCCCAGTGGAGAGAAACAGGTAGAAACCTACATTTACCTAACATTGTTCACTGCAAAGTAGCCCCAGTTTCTTTCTGGGTCAGCCACAGCATCTCAAAAGTGTCTACAAATGATCAGATCAGATCACCTTATTGGTCATATACAATTTCTTGCATTAGGAATTTGTCTTTTCGCATACCCCAGCTTGCTCTCCATGAGACACAGGCACACAGACAGGGAGAGAAACCTGGGGTCAGAGCACAGGGTCAGCCATTTATACGGTGCCCCTGGAGCAGCTGTGGGTTAAGGACCTTGCTCAGGGGCCCAACGGAGTAGGATTCCTCTGCCAGCCACAGGATTTAAACCGGCAACCTTCCAGCCACAGGCGCAGATCCTTAGCCACAGAGCCACCACTCTGCCCTGTTTTTTTTAAGGCGAGTGCCCTAATACCTGTGCTCAGAAGAAAAAGTCCACAGGATTTTAGGTCTGCTTCATCAAAAGCACAAGAGCTCAGGAAAGAACGTTAAACTAGATCAATTAAGTAACAGCGGGAGGTCTATTACTGATGTTTTAAAGAGTCCTACAAAACCTGACGTGAGTAACACTGGTCTATTGAATGCTACAGAACCCCTTAGCCAAGAGAATGAGTCAGTTTAGGTTTGGTGCACACAAAATCAGTGATGTTAGAAGTGATATACAGGACGTTACAGAAATAGCCTAAGTACAGGGTCATTTTTTCTGTGTCCAGGAAGCAGTGAGCTGTGAGCCACAATGTCATTCCTGAGAACATCTAAAAAGGTACAGAATTCATCATTTGCACCATGAAATCCTCTGAAATGCAAAGCCCACTGCCCCTTCCTTGTTCTCTAGGTCTATAACAATTTGGAGCCTTCCAAAAAATGAGAAAAAAATCATTATCATTATAATGAATCATTATAAGGGGACTGCCCCTTAATACTGCCTAAAAGCTTAAAAACTCTGTTACTTATTAACTGATTTGAGAGCCTTTTGGGAGAGACACTATTATCCAAAGTAAATTATATTTGCACTCACTTTTACAGCTGGGGATTCTACTGAAGACATCTAAATGAAGTATTATGACAAAGCACTGTTGCACACCCTTGTCACACAACCTCTGATGAGGTCTCTAAAATCTGTCAGGTTCCATAATCACTTGCAGTACCTATTCCACCCTTGTCATCAGTCCAGAAAATTTGTAACGGAAGGACATTATCTTTAGTTTTAGGTTTACTTTTTTAATTTCATTTGTGTAATGAATGTAGTGGTTATTTGTATGTGTCTTACTTGGATCCACAGTAATGTATTTGGCTACTGCCTGTTATGCTATGTTACTGTATGTCAGGCTACAGACCCTGACTCTGGTTTAAATACATGTCCATCTATAGGAGCCACTGCCAGAGCTTAGGGTATTTAACTTGTACTCGTACTTAGTGTACAGCAGTCTTTGTGTCTTTGTCCTTGTATGTGGTGGGTAATCTGGTCCACTTTTTGTTTCATAGCTGGATGTGTAGTACAGTAGTTCAGGTGGGTAGCTGGGTCAGCATGCGTAGGCTGCAAAGGAACAAGTAATAGGTTTATTCCATGCTGAAAAAAAGAAGAAAGAGACACAACGTTTCGGCCGTGGAGCCTTCTTCAAACTGTTTGTTAGAAATCCCCTAGAGAAACTGCGGTTTATTATTTTTGCTGTATGTGAGGTTTTTCCTCTTTTGCATTTTTTTGCTCCAGAGCACTTCAGTAAATAGACACTGTTTTGGCACTTTATTTTTGTATCCAGCCAATTTTTAATAAATTCTCTGACCACTCACCCTTAGACTTTCAACCAGACTGCACAGTCACAGTTATCTTGGTAAAGATACTATAGCAGAGTCTCCAACTGGTATTTGCATCCATGACCTATTAGCCATTTGTCCCAAGCTTAACTCAGTATTCCACTGCCTCTGTAACCAATGCAGATTTAATGTATTTCATGATACTCATGCTTGTAAAACATTCGTTTATTCTCATAACCAATGAGATCTTACTGCCTTGTAGCAGGTGTATTCACTAGTAGCTTAGGACTTAGGTCTGGAGTCTGGAGTGTGTCACCCCTACTGCACCCTTTCTCCTGATGGAATGTAGGAGTCTTCCACACCTTGAACTTATTCTTTGGATGACAAACATTGCATAGGGCGTTTGACCTAAGGAGTTTGGTGCCTATTCTTATATTTCAGGGAACCAGGGTTATAGAACTATGTACTGTACAAGGAAAGGGGATGGATAACCACAGACAGATTTCAGCAAAACTACATTTTTAGAGATAGAACCCAACATTCTTATGTCTGAAGCAGCTCTGACAAATCCTGAGTAGGGGTATTTAGCACAACAACAAGGAGCCTTTTAGAAAGAATGTGTATTCTTGGAGGCTTGAAGACACCTTCCACGTTTAAAGAGCTGAGAAGTCAAGAAATGGGCCCCTTCAATTCTAGTATGGCATGCAAAAATAATAACCAGGTACACCTTCAAGATAGATTGTAACAGCAATCTCATTCAAAGGAGACTAAAGTAAAAAAAAAAGGATCAGTAAACAAATTTCAGGAGTTAAACCAACAACTGACACACATCAATGTTATCGTATCAAAAGGAGGGTTTGTGGCTTCAGCTGCTTTCTGTTCTCAATGAGGAATTGGTGTGCAATTAAGTTATTGTGAAACTGGTTTAATTAATGGGCTTCTCAAACTAAATTGCCTTTCACAAGTAAAAAAAGGTAGACAGCTGTTAATCAACACAAATATTGTGAATTTAGCCAGTTTCACTAGAAGTACAAGTGATACACATCTTAAAATCTGCAAAAGTCAAGGCAAAATACAATACCTTAAATCAGGTCTAACTGTAAGTAATGTATTCTGTGGGTCATGTGTAATATATACAGTAGGTTATACTATAAGGAGGTGACTTCCATTGCCTGACTGTTTGCATATATATCCTATTTCTCAAGGTATTTTTTGAATAAGAACAATAATTTGTGGACCAATGTGTCCTTGACAAAGATTTGCTCAGAAGTGTGAAATGCTTCTCCTTTTGGTGCCTCTGAGGAAACTTACTCTCCATGCTTCACTGAACTAATATCACATACTTTACAGACCCTCCTGATTATTGTGAATGTCTCACAATGCCATTTTTCATGTGCACATTCACAGCTGCTGTCTCAAATTCATCAATTGTCAAAGCATTGGGGAAATAAATATTGCAAGAATGGACAATTTAAGAGCATACATAATCTAAAGCCCAGAAACCTCTCTGATTCCTAGAGTGCACAACAGGCGATCAGTGGGGTATCATAATAGTGTCTTATATGTGTGCAGGCTAGTTCTTCACCGCACTATTGTACCAGCTGTGAAAGGAAAAGCTTTTTTCCCTTTCAGACAGTGGGTCTCTACTTTCAGTAGTTATCTGACTCATTGCCTTGGAAATGGGAAATTCAGGTTCATATCATTCTCACTCTGACTAGGAGGCTCCTGGTTTCTTTGATATCTTCACTCTCAATTTCTGATTAATTGATTTGAATTTTCATTCAAAATTAGGTGAATTAAGATTGAAAGGTGTTCAACCGAGCTACTGTAGATCCAGCAGTACTTTGAACCGCGAAAGGCTGGCGTCATCCACCACTGTTTTACATCAAGGGTTTGATCATGTCTTCAAGACAAATCTGCAGTAGAATCTGATGAGTGTAATTTCAGCCTGACCTTTCTGCAACTATCAGGAGCTTGAAAAGGGAAAATGAGAAACAGTCTTGTAGAGAAACTGAGTTGTAAATAAAAAGAGACATGAAGAAAATCCTAATATTTAATATTAGGCATTTTAATATTTTAATGTGTGACATAAGGTTTTCTTAACTTCCTCTATTGATTAATGCATTTTGTCAAATGGTCCTGTTCTGCAAACTAGGCTGTAACCAAACATTGCAGCTGTAAAGTAATATGACAAAGTAAAATACAGTATAAAGTAAATTGACATAACCAGTGACTGGAGTGATTTTGGGGGAAAAAAAGCAAGAAAACACAAACGTTTGCTGAAACTTTTCTTTCCTGCGGCAAACTGGGTCCCTAAACTTGTTATTCCACAACCTTTTTCATAAAGCAAAGTTTGTCACAGTCACAGGGCACGGTCAAAATCATTTCCCCTGTTTCAAAGTGGAAGAACAAAACAGAGATCAATTGGATTGCAATTTAAGGTCTGACTTTGAAGCTTGCACAATTGTCAGTGACTTTGCCTGAGTGCATGTGCTATCCGCTTCTCATTTTAATGTGCAGCAGGGGTCCACTGTCTGAACAGAGGAATCCTTAACTGTGTTACAGTTCTGATCAGGTATCTCATTTACGTAATACACCTCAGGGAGGCTTGAATAGAAAATGGAGGAAGAGAGTAACACCCACATGTAAGTCTAAGTGAGGAGGGCTGAAAGAGCACAAATTTCTATAAAGCCTCTTCTCTTATGGAAGAAGACTAGTAATAAGATAGTCATTCACCATTCTCCTTCATATCCTCAGAAGTAATATTTCATGAAAACAATACCACAGTCCATTATGGGTTTCCTCTGGGTGCCACAATTTCCTTCCATAAGACTTGCTACAAGATTAATTGGCTTCTGTGAAATTGGCTCTGGTGTGAGCGTGTGCATGCTTGTGTCTGTGTGTGCCCTGAGATTATAATTATAATATTATGTATTATACTAAAGGTATAATTACACATTTACTTGCCTTAGAAGTTACGTTAAATAATTACTTGGTAGCAAAAGATTTTAGAACTTAGTGTCAGAATTTTCTATTAATTTGGAGCTTTCACCATTTAATCCCCAGGAAGGAAATATACTGCAATTCTCTGCTCATGTATATTGACTTGCCCCATCCTTGCTAGGAAGCATACTGTACATCTTAACATTGTCCAGAAATTCTTGTACGTTCCCAAAACCAAATTCGAAGGTAGTAAAAATTAATCGTAAAAATTCAAATTTCCAGATACTGTATCTGTGTGAAATACGTAGAAACACGACACAAAAAAATTCCCGGTCAATATCATGGTAAATATCATAATCACTTTCCTGCTGCCTTGAGAGAAATATAGTGCCATTGAAAAATGTATTTTCATATTATTACTGCCTAATATTCTTGACATAATTTATATGTAACAAATGCTGCAAATATTTTTGTGACAATGGGCAGGATAAAGAGAAGTGCTTCCAGTACTGTTATTTATATACTGTATATTTGTCCTCGCATTCAGCTTATTTTATATAAATATTTTATAACACTTTAATTTGTCCTGGCCCAGTGATAGCAGTACTTCAAGTGAACAAACATACCCCTGCAAATACTAAAAGAACAAACTGAACTCAAAACTTGTCTGCTCCTTTAATTTTCAAGAGCACCAAGTCCTTAAAAACAAACATTTAAGCTTGGATGGATTCGCAGTTAAATTTAAGGGCTCTTAAAAAATAAAATGCTTTATTTCTCTTATCATGTGATCTTTTACATTGAGTGTGATGAAGTGCTATGCAAAATTCTCATCACTTGACCTCAGATGAGATTTTAAAGTTGTAATTTTAAGTAATTTATCCTTATTTGTTTATTCATCACCATCAAACTAGAATACAAATGTAGCACAGTGTATTTGTAATTTATAATATGAATATTTAAAACCCATAGTGATCATTTCATTGGTACATTAGTCGTAGTTTTCTATTTGTCTTACCTGTTGAGGATCCAGTTTTGTCCTTATCTCCTGTCTCTTCCACCATTTTGAGTGGACTTACAGACTCTGTTTCACTTCCATCTTAAATGGAGTCTTACATGTCCATCAAGAGGAACTGTGGGCGGAGCTTGGGCATGGTATGGACTAGTTAGACGGTCTTGTAGTAGTCGAGTTTTAGCCATGCCTTAGTATTGGATTAATATTGGATTGTTTGTTGGGTTTATCCATTTTCTAAGTACCTTATCCAATACAGAGCTATGGGAATGCTGTAGCCTATCCAGGCAAGCAATGGGCACAAAGCAGGATATATCCTGGGCAGGACACCAGGCCATTGCAGGGCACATACACCAGGGACAGTTTTCCTAGAAGCCTGTATATATTAGGACTGTAGGAGGAAACTGGAGCACCAGGAAGAAACCCACGTGAACACAGGGAGAACGTTCAAACTCCACACAGATAGCACCCCAGGAATTGAACCCAGGACCCCTACACTTCAAGGCTGATAAGATAACCACTGTGCCACCATCCTGCCCTATCTTAGGCCAATACCACTTAAGCTCTAAGTAGTTCCCTGAAGGAGCTGCAGTTTTTGGTATTTGTTGATATGTTTGTCTGTTGTAAATATTTTCCCTGCAAGAAGAGCACCTCAAGTGTCCTGCTTTTTTAGCACTTTTGTGACTAGTCTGGGTATCCCAAACAATGGTAGGTTCATTCTCTGCATCAGAACTATTTAAGTGTTCACTTTCTCTTTACTGTCCCTGGCAGGTCCCTTCTTTGATGATGGACAACCAGTTTTCAGAGTTCACTCCTGACATCACCCCTATCATGCTGGCAGCCCACACCAACAACTACGAGATCATCAAACTGCTGGTCCAGCGCAAGGTCACCATTCCCCGACCCCATCAGATCCGCTGCAACTGTGTGGAGTGTGTGTCCAGCTCGGAGGTGGACAGCCTCCGGCACTCCCGCTCACGGCTCAACATCTACAAGGCTCTGGCCAGCCCCTCGCTCATCGCCCTCTCCAGCGAAGACCCCATCCTCACGTCCTTCCGGCTGGGCTGGGAACTGAAGGAGCTGAGCAAGGTGGAGAATGAGTTCAAAGCGGAGTACGAGGAGCTGTCCCAGCAGTGCAAGCGTTTCGCCAAAGACCTGCTGGACCAGGCGCGCAGTTCCCGCGAACTGGAGATCATCCTTAATCACCGCGACGACCAGAGCGAGGAGCTGGACCCGCAGAAGTGCCATGATCTTGCCAAGCTCAAACTTGCCATCAAGTACCACCAGAAGGAGGTAAGGGGGCAGAGACATGATGTTTTTTATCCATGTTTTTAAACAGCAGTCAGACACCAGTTCTTTTTCTCCTATGAATGACTCAAAGGACCCAGATTTCCACAAGCTACAATCCCCCACTGGGTAAATGTCAGCAAACACAGGGTCATTATTCAGCTAGTTTTTAGATTTAGATTTGTACAAAGGTAAGAATCCCTGCAGGTCTGATTTTAAATTTTTAAATTCCTGTCCCTGCGGGGCAGCACGGCGACCTAGGGATCCATGCAGCTGCCACACATTCACAGTTCTTGTGTCCGATTCTGGGATGTGGTGCCTTATGTGTGGAGTTTGCATGTTCTCCCTAATTTTGTATGGGTTTCCTCTCACCTTCTAAAGATATCCTGCTCAACTCTGGATCACCATGATTACGGATACGGATGGAAAGAAAAACTTACTTACATTGTCATGTCACCTTTATAAAGAGATAATTGAACTTCCTCCTCTGCATTCAACTCTGTCAACTGTGTTAGAGAAATTTTTAACTTACAATTTAAGTGTTTAGGGTATTTTAGCCTTTTAAGATTTATATTTTCTACATTCAAAAGAGAGACAGTGACCCAAGCCAGAAGAAATAAAACGTCTTTTAATAACTATAGACTTCAGGAAATTTAACACTACACCAAAAATGATAAAACTATAGTATTCAGAGCTTGATAGGGTTCTTGTTTTACTGTACTAAAGATTACGAACCTTACCTACCTATGTTCCAGTTATTCTGCCTCTTCACTCTTGATTTACAGCTGACATATATTTTATTTATTCCAGACATTCATCTCTACCTTTCATTGTTTTGTTTTGAGATGCATGACTAACGTTTCTATTTTCCCCAGAATATACTGTATGTGAGCTACAGTTTGTTAGTTGCAAAAAAAAACATGTTCACTGTCTAGATTTGCAGCAATGGAGAAATATTGATATTCCCGTGACTCAAGATTTGTGTTTGAAAAATGGAGGAATATATATATATAGGAGTGAGGGTTAAGCTGGAAAGACTGACATGTTTGAGAAATTAATATTTCAATTTTTTCAGTTTATTCCCTATGACATTTGAACCAGACATTTATAAACCTCCTGTTTTAATGAACTGATTCTGATATTTTTTTCTAGGTATACATGTACACTCTTTGAATGGTGTTAAATATCACATATGTTATACATCAAAACCAATAATGTTATTTATTAAGCAACTGCAACATCAAGAACGCGTAGGTCCAATCTAGAAATAATAGATCGATGCTGTGTTTAACCCTTTTTATTAGCTTCATACTTCTGAACTGACTATAATTTTGCCTCACAAGCTTTTTTTTGGCCTACACAAAAGAGAGACACTACCCATCTTTCTATTAGATAACCACAGCAGTTTTAGGTTTGTTTTCAGTGATTAACTTGAATGTGCCACTTGATGGGATTTAAATAGAACATTACTGCACGATGTGTATTTGGGTATTTTAAAAATGTGGTCGATGTCCCTTTATAGGGAGCAATCAAAGGATTCATCAAAGATAGTTCTACTGTATTTACATTACACTTGCATAAACCATGTCTTCTGAAACACTGAATTGAAAATAAGCTGATGTTTCTAGAATATACACATTCTAGAGAACATTATTCTTAGGCCACTGCACCAATAACCTTATTAGAAATAATTAAATTAAGTGCTTAGACATTACAATGTGTTTTTTATACATTGATGTACGGCAAATCCCATGAATGGCAATTGATTGCATAGCCATTTACTATCTTTGAGATGCCACAAAGCTGAACATTCAGCAATATATTCCTGCCATTTGATCAGCACAGGGGGATTACTGGCAAGAACCATACAAATAAACTTTACATTTTGTTGTTTTTGTTGTTTTGTTGGACTCGGCTGCAAAGCAAATGTACCTCCAGGGAAAATAAAGCTGGAATCGCATTGAATTTCGTATGTTTTATTCTGTGCGGCATGGTGAGTCAGTGGTAAGCACTGCTGGCTTGCAGTGCTGGGGCCCTGGGTTCAATTTCTGGGGTCTTATCTGTGTGGAATTAAACTCATGTCTGCATGCGTTTCTCCTGGGTGCTTCAGTTTTCTTGCACAGTCCAAAGACATACTGGTAGGTTAATTAACTACTCCAAAAATTGACCTTTTATGTCTGAATGTGTCCTGTGGTGGATTGGAGTTCCATCCAGGTTATGCCCTGACTTGTGACTGCTGTAAGCCAAGATGCCCTATAACCCTGTATTTGATGAAGTGGTAGGAAAATGTCCAGATGGATATTTTATTATAATGTACTGTATACAGCTTAGACTTTCAATTTTGGGAAATAAGAGTGGTATCTCCAATCCCTATTACTTCACATAATACATATAGCAATTGAAGAGGTTTCTTATCAAAGTAATGTTAATAATAGGGCTTCATCTGCATTATATACAGTACAGTATGTTTATTACACGCTATATACAGTATAAGCCCTTTATAGCCATTTCTATTTGGAATAGATTTTGCTGATGAGGTTACTTTCAAGGACAGTGCTTTGTATAATTCAAATACTGCTTCCAAATATACTAACCTTTAGAATGCACCTCCTATCTTGTTCACAGATTATATTTTACCCCTCATAGATGGTATCTAGACAGACTAATTTCCTGGATACACTGTATCTAGGAGGAAAGAGGCAGGTAGGGACACACTGATAGATACAGTATTTTGGAAGTGTCAAGATTTTTTTCGTTATTCTAATCATGGATACGCCCTGTTCACAATAAGCATTTTTTCTGTATTTCTGCTTTTGCAATGAAAACTGCATTTCCTTTGGGGGGGGGTTCTGTGCTGCTGCTGACAGTCAAAGTCTTACTGCAAAGGGATCCCATTGTAGCAGTTTCAGTGTACAATTAAGTAAAATGTAACAGTGTGGTGTACCACTGAGGAAAATAGGAAAATGGGTGAGGGGATTCTTGTGAGCTGGTTCATTTTAATTTTTAGTTCATTTAACTTTTTATTGAAGTTTTACAAGGGGAACAATACATCAAGATGGACAACTGAACAAAGTTACCAAGTTATAAATCCCTTAACTTACTGACCTGAGATCCCTCCCACCCCCAACCACAAACCGTAGAGCCTTAGAAACACAGCAAAAACTAATAAAAGTGTAGGTAATCAACTTAAAACAGAATAAACCCAAAATAAAGACTAACAAGACAAATAAGGATAAGGCAGTATAGACTAAATTAAGACAGTAGAGAGGAAACAACAAAACACTACTTATGGCTGTGCTGCTTAATCTTCAGAGTCTGAAAGCGTTACGTTATCAATGAAAGCTCAATGCTTACTTCATTCCTTTGTATCGTATTGTGTTTCAGCAGAATAAGAATTTGTTTAATAGCTCGAAAAAAAAACAGACATTCTGAACATTTCTTCAACTTCAGGCAAGTGAAGACCTGTGTAGTTAATATTAGCATAACTGCTGCCATCCCTGTGGTTGAACTGAATCATGGGAGAGGAAACCCAAGCAGCAAACCTGCTGCTCTTATGGGAGCTGACAATATCAACTTCAATACATACAGTATACTTTCTCAAGCCAACATATGAGATTCTCCTTGGAGAACACAGCAAATGCTGCATCGTAATTAAGGGGACAGAGCTTCCTGACATTATTGGCCTGGCAGGCTGGTATAATGTGGATGACTGGAAAATAAGAATTCATTTAGCATGTTAACACGCAAGTCCAAATTAATTCTAGCTGTAACAATATAAAAGGCTAAAGGGAAAAAAACTAAAACAGAATTCCAATAATGTTTATATCCATGTGTAATGTACTGGTCTTTCCAACTGAAATATACAGTAATTCATCAATTCAGTTTTAAATGAAGTGGTGATGTTCTGCTATTGATCTGTCGTGGAACTGAGCTATACAAAAAAGAATGTGTGCATAGACCATGGGGAAAATAGGTATGGGGACAATGAAAATTAACATTAATCTATAGGTACAGTATTGTGTCAGTTATGATTTCAACATAACGTATTTTCATATATCAATGACAATTTTATTTTATGTAGTATCACTAATGATATATCAGGTCAAGCTGATTCACAGGAAAGATCCACAATCCATAAGGCACAAAAAGAAACTACATGAGAGTACTTTTAAAAATGAGATTAGGAGGCTCTTAAAAAATTTAAAAAAAAATCTTAGTACTTAATGTTAGATTTCTGTTAGGTAGAATACAGATGGTTCCATGATTAGAATATACATTTGCAGTTCAGGTCAATTTTAATCCACACCACAAATAGAACACAAATCTGTAAAATTAATTTTTAATTTTTAATTTTTAATTAAATACTGTATGAATGTTCATAAGAAGAGTAGCAGACATCTAGTTTGTAGACTAGAGGTCCTAAATTCCTAGATAGGGATTCACAGAATCCCTGCCATTGCAACTCTTTACTCCAGCTAATTCTTAATGAAAGTGATCTGTAGTAGTTGTGTTAATTAAGCAATTAATTAATTCAATTCATAATTTATTGGAAGATGCAAAGTTTTGCAATGCTGGGGAATCCTGGAGTACCTATTGTATAGAAATTGATATTAACAATTGGAAACACTGTTGAACAACGTTTAAAATCTGGAACAGGGGGCACTTCTGTACACAAAGGGTTGTAAGAGTATGGAACAGCAATCCAGCCATAGGAATCAACACCCTGGACTCCTTCAAAAAACAGCTGGATAAAATCTTTGGATTAATTAGCTACCTGTCTAGCTGTGCCGATTGGCCACCTCTGGTTTGTAACTTGTCCATATGCTCTTAATAAGTACCCACGCATATTCCATTGTTTTTGGAATATAACTCCTTACTTGTACTGTTTCTGTGTTGCAGCAAACACATTCTTGTTATAAAAATGGGAAACAACCATTTAATAGTACTGTGGCTAGAAAAAAACATCAGCATCAGTGTTTGCATATTCCTTTAATTAATGATGAGGA